GAAGAAAACAAATAAAAATAAACTTTTACGGTTTATAAATAGTTATTTTATAGTTTTATTTGTTTCTGTCCGATCTCATGCTGTGTTGATTTAAATGATGTTYAAATTCAGCTGAACATTTCCAGATGCCACTCAGGTTTAGTTTAACTTTCAAAATAAAAGTAGGACTTTTCTGTTTGCTTTCTGTAATTTGCTCCTGCCGCACTGATGCTCCGTCCTCTGTCGGCCTAAAACGCCTGTTATCACTGGCTTCAATCCTCCTCCTGTAATCAGCACTTGTCAGCTCCTTATTTTACATATTTGTGCTGAAATGGCAGCTTTTCTTCCCATAATGACTTTTCCATTCGAGCCAAAGTGAGCGGCGAGTGCAGCTGTAACACAATGTTTTGACGAGGGGAGGATGAGAAGTGGTTTCCAACGACACAAAAGATTAAAGTTGAAGAAGAAAATTGGAGGACAGGGTGTATCRACAGGGAAAAAAAGACAGGCGGAGGAAAATAAAAGCAGCGAGCGAAAAAAAAAAAAAAATACAGAGTGCTGCTTTTTTAGTTACCAGCTTGAAAAATCAAAGGGTACACGTTGGATTGGGGTGGAAGATGAAGAGGAGGTGAAGAAGACAGAAAGAAAAACAAACAAAGACAACAAAACTGAGGAGATGAAAACAGGAGACAGAAAAGACAAAGAGGCAGCAGGAGTCGAGGGAGGAGGAGAAAAGTAACGACAGAAGAAAAACTGGATTCATTCAGAAAATAAAAGACAGAAAAACAGGCCGACATTTTACTGCCTCAACATTTTCACCCATTATAAAATGTATTTTAATCACTTTAAACACTGAGATGCTTCTGGAAATGTGAGGTTTTATTTCTTATCTGTTGTTCCCGACAAATAAACTCTGGATCTGTTGGTTTTTAGTTTCTAGTTTCTGACAAGAAACCGTTAAAAAACAGCAGCATGAATCTGATATCAGGAGCTTAAATGAAAAGAATCCTTGGATGAAGATTTAAAACTGATGAACTTTTAGATTCAACCTGATTCAAGATGGCTGCCACAGCTAATAAAACTTAGCAATGGAGAAAAAAGGGTTACTTTTAGTTAATTTGTACAAATATTGAGCTAAAATGTAGTGAGGTTAGCTGAGAGTCATGCATGGTTATGGTAAATATCGCTTTAAGGGAAATCATTTTAATATTAGTTTTGACAGAATTGATTGTTTTGAAATGATAACTTGATGCGACGCTCATGATGAAGCATCAAATCATGGCTCCAAGTCTTAAACAGACTCGTGTTTGTCGTTTGTTTTACAGGTCAGGTCACTGTCAGTGTTTCTGSACCTTCCTGATGTGCTGAACCTGTCAGAGAAACATTCATGTCTTGAAAATTATTTTTAAAATGTCATCATCACATCATTCCACTTCCTTTATCACTGCAGGTGAGATTTTACCTTTTAATTATCTGGAGTTTAGCTGCAGCGTGCGATGCCTGATCAAGCATTTAAAACAAGGATTAAAACTTTCAGATTAGTCTCAAAACGCAGGAAGGAGAGGAGAAAGTTTGAATCAAGGTCTGGAAGCTGGAGACAGACATGTTGCTGGATAAACATTTATAGTAATAAACCTAATGTTAGAATTTATGAGAAAAAGAAAAAAAACTTTTACTGTACAACTGAAGCAGTGATGATTTAAATCTTTAGTTTGGAAAGGTAAAATCAACATTTWGTAGCTGAAAAAACAAAAACCGAAGTAACTCTGTAGTAAAGCTGTTTCTACTATTTCTAGATCAAAATATTTAATCTAATCTTTTAATAATTTATCATTTTGTTCGAAGACTGGAACATTTCTTTTATGTTTATTTTCTAAACAAACAATAAATCCAACCTGATGTACATAAAACCCACAATAAACTGATGAAACTGAGTCATCTTTAATTTATACTGTGTAAAGTTGGAAAGGTTAGTGCTGCATTTATACTACCTCCCTGTGCAGTTTTAGGACTCAGGTTTTTCTTTGCTCACTTTGCAAATGTGTGTGTGTGTGTGTGTGTGTGTGTGTGTGTGTTATACATTATTCAGGGGTCCGATGGTGCAGGGCAGTTCCTATTCATTGACACTGAGCAGAGGTGAAGAGACAAAGTGTGTGATAATAAAGCCACTCTGACCCTCTGGGCCTTAGGTGCGTGTGCGTGTGTGTGCGTGTGCGTGTGTGTGTGTGTGTGTGTGTGTGTGTGTGTGTGTGTGTGTGTGTGTGTGT